GAGAGAGAAAGAAAGAAAGAAAGAAAGAAAGAAAGAAAGAAAGAAAGAAAGAAAGAAAGAAAGAAAGAAAGGAAGAAAGGAAGAAAGGAAGAAAGAAAGGAATTGACGTTTTTTTAAAATCATGTATTTGCTACAGGTGCTACATCCTGAAGTCCAAAGACTAGATCTGAGGAGCTGTGATATCTCAGACTTGGCTCTCCAGCACCTGTGTAAATGCAGAAAACTGAAGGCACTAAATCTAAAATCCTCCAGGGAACATAGAAATAGCATAACTTCAGAAGGTATGTATACGGTCACTGAGTACATGGGCACCTGATATAATTTTGGAGCAAAGAAAAAAGTATCTTAGAGGAGAATATAAGAACACCAGCAAGGTGGGGAGAGGAGAGAGGTTAGAGGAGAATATGAGCAAGGTTCAATGGTATATATGTATAAAAATGTTAAAATGAAACATTATTTTGTATGTTAATTAAATTTTTTAAAAAGAGAGATAGAGAATATGAGCCAGACATGTAACTGTAATTTCAGCACTCAGGGAGGCAGAAACAAGAAGATCACTGCAAATTTGAGGCTAGCCTGGTTTACATAGTGAGTTTTAGGACAGCCTAAGCCTACATAGCAAGAGAATATGAAGAGTTTAAAAAAAAAAAATAGGAATTAAGGTATCAGTAAAACTGTCCAGACTAGGGGTTGGGGATTTAGCTCAGTGGTAGAGACCCTGGGTTAGGTCCTCAGCCCTGAAAAAAAAAAAAAGAAAAAGAAAAAACTATCCAGTCTAAAAAAAAAATATCAGAGTAAGAAGAACAACAATAATTCAAATTGGAATTCTTGTTTATAACCATTTTAAAAACATGCTAAGTTCCTGCCTTATATTTTAAACATATTTAAAATAATACTTCGGTATTTTAAACATTTTGCCTGTTATAGTGCAAGACATGGGCAGTTGATGATATTTGGTTAAGACTGAGGTTTTTGTTGTTAGCCTGTTGTAATAACTGTAATACCCAATGTGAGCCCCCAAACAAGACCACCAAGGACCCAACTTCTGATGCAAAAACAATAGGTTTTGTTTATTCTGGCCTAGACAGGAACCTCCCCAACACCATGTTACAGCGGGTGGAAGAGGGAAGGTCCTGAGCATTCACATCAGGGGTTTATATAGGAAAGGTTACGTGCAGAGGGTTACATATCTCGGGGGCTAGGGGTGAGGTAGTTCTTTGAAGTTACTGTGAACTATAAGCATGAGGTTACTGATGGCTAACAGGATGCAGGGTATCTACAGAGACATAAATTTTTTACTCCCTATGTCCTGCTTTTGCTGAACCCAGGATATATACATTCAGATTTCTTGTTCCAGCCCTATTCTCCCATGAGTTCAACTTCTGGTCAGTTGAGTCCATTACTCCCCATATCTTGTTTTGTCAAGTCCAGGATATATAGATTTATTGTTCTAGCCTTATCTTCCCATGAATTCAACTTCTGGTCAGTTCTAAAATTGCTGGTCAGCAAATACTTTCAGAGGGGAGGGGGGCGTCTCTCAAGATGGCTACTGATTTTTTCCCTTTCAAAGCCTGTGATCTCTGTATTTAGGAGGTAGGAGCAGGAGAATTAAGAGTTTAAGACCATCTTGAGCTACATAGCCAATTTGAGGTCAGCCTGGAATACAAGGAAAACTGTCACAAAAACTGTTGTTTTGGTTTTTAGGATTGGGTCTTAGTATGTTGCTCTTGGCTGGCTTGGTATTTACTTTGTAAACCAGTTTTTCCTAGAACTTCTAGTAATCCTCTTGCCTCAACCTCCAGTGTGGTTAAGGCACTTTGCTTATTATTTATTTGTTTATTGTTTGTTTGCTGAGATAGGATCTCACTAGGTAACCCTGACTAGCCTCAAACTCGCAGAGATCCTTTTGCCATCTGCCTCCTGGGTGCTGGAATAAAAGCTTTTACCACCACTTTTTTGATGCAGTATTATAACAGAAACAATCATCAGGTTAAGATGGGTGGGGTGGTTCATATTTGTAAACCCAAAACTTGAGAGGTGAAGGAGATAGATTAAGAGGTCAAGGGCATTCTCAGCTACATAGTGAATTTTAGGCCAGGTGAACTACTTGATACTCTATTTCAAAAAACCAAGACAACTCAGATAAACTAGGCAATCTCTATAACAATGTCCAATACCAAAACCAAAAATTTTAAGGAGGGTGTGGCTCGAGAGAGGACTCAGCAGTTAAGAACACTTGTTGCTTTTATAGAGGAACCAAGTTTAGTTTGGGTGCCCACATGACTGTTTACAGTATGTAGCTCCAGTTCCATAGGATCCAATACCTCCTTCTGGCCTCTTTGGGCACCACATACACATGCTGTACAGACATACATGCAGGAAAAACATCTATACACAAAAAATAAAAATTAAAAAAATGACTATGCAGTACATGTTTTATATCCAAATTATTTTCTCAGAGTAGTTACATGAAATAGTGGATTTTTAAGGGTTTTGTTTTTTATTTATTTTTTCTAATATAGATCATTTTTCAGTTTAGGATTTGAACTTTTTTCTTTTTCCGTATAATAAAGAAGTACTTAGCTGGATATGGTAGCACATACCTGTAATACCAACACTCAGAAGTCTGAGGCAGGAGGACCTAAGTTCTAGGCTGGCTTGGACTGTGTCATGAAACTCTCAAAGAAAAGGAAGGAAAGCATTCAGGAAGGAAGGACTTATTTGTGTACGTTGGTTTCTGGGTAATTGTTTGGCTGGTTGACTGTATTTCCCAATCATTTTAGTTATCCACTTGGTATATTCATAATACTGTAAACAAACATAAGTTTTGAAATGTTTACATGAAAAATAACTCATTAAAAAAGAGGTCTGACACAGCTTTAATCCCAGCACTTGGGAGGCAGAAGCAGGTGGATCTCTGTGAGTTAAAGGCCAGCCTGGTCTACAAAGTGAGATCCAGGACAGCCAGAGCTGTTACACAGAGAAACCCTGTCTCAAAAAATAAAAAATAAAAAAAATAAAACTGTTTGCCAGGCAGTAGTGGCGCACGCCTTTAATCCCAGCACTCTGGAGGCAGAACCAGGCAGATCTCTGTGAGTTTGAGGACAGCCTAGTCTACAAAATGAGTTCCAGGACAGGCTCCAAACCTACACACAGAAACCCTGTCTCAAAAAACAAAACGACAACAACAAAAAAGAGCTCTGAAAAAAAGCATAGCTATTCTGATAGTAAATGATAGTAATTGCTTCTCTATAAGAAGCAATTATCTTACTCCCCATATACCAGCTAGATTGTTTTTTTCATTTTAATTTATTTCCTGGCTGTCTATTTCCCTGTGGAGGTCAGAGACAACTTGGGGGAGTTGGTTCTTTGTTCCTACCATGTGGGTCCCAGGGATTTGGCAGCAAGAACTTTTGCTTACTGAGCCATCTTGCCACCCCCAGTTATATTTCTTATCATTTAATTCAGCTCTGCCATTATCTACTTGGAGTTAGTATCACATCCCACAGCTAAGTCTGCCTTGCAAGACTGTCTCCAGTTCATGTGCCAGTCCCAAATCCTGGCCTCCAGCAAGTACTTCTGACTAAGGAGCTATACAAAATTTCTGCAAATTATTCCTTGTGATAAGGCAAAGGTTCCTCCATGTTGTCTCTGCTGGAGCCATCTTTGATTTAACTGGCCCCACCCCACTTCCCTACCCCTGCAGTGAAAAGTCCCATGGGAAAGTAACCAACCCTGTTCTAGAAACTCAGAATCAAAATGCCCCAGCTAACTGCATGTTTTTGGCTTCTGTTAAACGCTTGCTTGCTTTAATTCCCCCTGCAGCTGCCAACCAGAGTGTAGGTTTTCTGTGTTTTGGGTTGTTTTTTTTGCTTTGTTTTGGTTTGGTTTTTTGCCTTTAAAAGTTCCCTGTAAAATGCATTCAAGGCTGCTCTGTGAGGACTGTTTCTCTCCAGCTAAATAAAGACTGTCAAATTCAGACTTTGGTGGTGCTGAGTGGTCTCTGGGTCTCAACCCTGCAACATTCCTCAGGATTCAATAATTTGTCACCATGGTTCACAAAACTCAGGAATGCACTTTGCTTTGTTACAATCCATGTGAGAAAGTTACAGAGCATCACTAATATAAGGCCAAATAAGAGTCCTTTATTTAAGCCAGAGCAGGCTCTTGTCACAAAAAAATTCTCAGCCAGAAGTTCAGGGATGCAGCATGTATAAAGCTAAAATCCACAATAGCATCATTGTTCAGTGTAGGTTAGGGGAACCTTGTAACATTTGTTTTGACGGAACACAGTGGTTGTTTTGGTTTACATTCAGCAGTTATTTTGGTTATACGTCAGGGCTATGGTCAGGGACATGATTGCTAGATTAAGTCACATATTGATTTTTCCAATTGTGCATGTCCCTTTCCATAATTTCCTTTCTGTGCCCAATAATGCATAGTCACAAAATGGTACATAGGGGATTTTCCCTGAAAGTTTCCTAAAGGACACAATTTTGCCTTATGTTGATGTACCCCAAATGAGTTCCTCCTGAATTAATCCTTGTATTCTTTGTACCTGGATACATTGGAAATATACTTTTTACTGGGATCTTGGAGAGGGTCTGTACTGTTTTTCAGAGGTGAGCATACAAGTAGCCTGATGGAGGTGGGAGGCTCAAAGAGTTCTGAGGTTGCTCGATATGTGTGCACGGTGTGTGCAGGTGAAGGTGCTGGGCTGCCAAGTGCACTATTACAAGAGGAGGATGTGTGTAATCAAAACCAAATAGAGTCCTGGGCTAAACTGTATTCCCTATGTTGCCTGCCTCCAAAGTAAAAGTTAGAGACATAAAACAAAGGCAGAAATGTCAGGCTTACATCCTGCTTTTAACTGCCTTGTCAGTCCGAGTGACTAGGCAATCCTTTTTAACAAAAGCAGTTTTAACAAAAGCCTATTTCAATACCACTAGGAAAATAAGTATGTCTCCATAGGTATCTATCAGGGCTATCCCTTTGGACTTGTCCTGTTCCTTTTCCCTTTGTCTGTTCCTCATATCCTTTTGCCAAAAAGATGTTAATTGCCAAATCTTTCCTTAGCGCCTTAGCACCCAGAATATCTAGCCTTTATAATGCCCTTCCTTAGTTTTTAGTTAATAGCTATGAAACTTAACATGCAGAATGTGTCTGTTTTAAGACAGGAAGCCAGTCATAGTGACTCAAATGTGTAATTCCAGCACTCTAGAAGCTGAGACAGGGTAAGTGTTGTGAGTTCAAGGACAGCCTGGACTATACAGTGAGTGTCTAAAAATAAAGAGGAAGCAGGGAGGGGATGAATGAATGTATAAATAAAAGAAATAACTACAGAGGATCTATGTCCATTGTAATGTTCTGGCCAGAGAAAAAGACAGGAAACAAGGGATGATACCTGATGATAAACACGCCCGTCCCTCCCCATAGCGTAGGGCCTACCAAGAAAAGCCTGTAAGTCATGAAGCTCTCTTGAGAATCCTACACTCCCTGTGGAGTGAAACTTCCTCCTGATTTCTTACTTGGACTTTGAATTCTTTGCCAGTGACAAGAACTTGGAAATACCTCATAGAAGACTTCATCTGGGATTTTTACCTTTAAGAATCCCCCCATTAGACCGCCCCACTAACAAAACTGCTACCTCCACAAATCTACTTTCCTTGCCTCTGCATCTTGTCCTGGATATACTTGGCCTGTTGTGGGATGAACTACTTTGAAAATTACTAACATACAATTGGTGATTGTTAAAATGAAAATCTGTCTTAGTCACATTTCTTACACACACACACTACAACTCATTGGTAGAGCATCTGCCTCTTTTATATGATGCAAAATAATGACCTCACTTGAAGGAGATAGTAGTTCATTCTGAACCAAATATGGCTAACCTATGATACTGATTCTAATTTCCAAGAAAAAAAAGTATTCCAAAGTAAAAGGAATTGTAATGACTTTTTAAAATACAAAAGTACTGTGAAGCACTGCATCCAGTGACTACATTTGGTGGGTGTAAATCATACCACTAGTTTAAGATAAAGCAAGGAAACCCTGACCATTGGACTTAGATAGCATCTTACTGTATTCGTAGTGTGGTAATTAGTACAATCAAGTCTGGAGTCTGTTCTTTGTCCAGGTAGGTATGTCTAACGTGCATCCACAGAGGTTACCTAACAGAATATTAGATCAAGAACAGAAGGGCTTTAGAACTGAAGCAGCCTTTATAAAGGCAACCTCTGGTGTCTATTCTTACAGGCTTCCAGTAAGCCTGCCTATGTTTATATCTCAGAGAGGAAATCCTTGTCCATCTGATGCTTGAAGAAATTCTATTCTGATCATTTTGGGACGTTTTAAATTTTGTAATATCCATTTATAACCATATAGTTCACTGTTTTCCCCTAGGAATAAAAGCTGTAGCTTCATCCTGTTCCGACCTTCATGAAATTTCTCTGAAAGGATGTTGCAATATCACTGATGAAGGAGTCCTTGCTCTTGCACTCAATTGCCAGCTGCTAAAGATCATTGACTTGGGTGGCTGCTTAAGTATTACTGATATGTCCTTACATGCATTAGGAAAAAACTGCCAATTTTTGCAATGTGTTGACTTTTCAACTACTCAGGTAAATAAGATATAAACTTGACACAAATTGTGTGCTGTATCAATTATTATCCATGATTAATCAGAATATCATAATTAGTTCTTTTTTTAATTAGTTCTTTTTTTTTTTTAATTGTTGAAACTGTTGGCCATCTCTTGATATAGGTGGTATGAGAATGTTTTTTGGAATTCTTCTTATAGCTTGCCTTCAGAAGTAGAACATTTGTCCAACCTTGTAACCAACTTAATCATGTGCTTTGAGATCATTTAAAGCTATATACTGTGTAGTTAGTTTAAATATAACTTACTTTAAGAAAAACAACATAATCTTATTGTACTTTGTACTCTCCATGTAAATCATCTTTTAAAAGCTAAGATGAACACAAAGCTTTGATCTCAAACTATATTCCTTATTTCTAACTCATAACCACTCCATGCCATGACTCAGAATAATGTATATGTCTCCCTTGTAATTCTTCCATTTCCCTAACTCAGAACAGTGTGTGTGTGTGTGTATGTGTGTGTGTGTGTGTGTGTGTGTGTGTGTGTGTGTAAAGTATAACATGTTTTGTGGTTTTGCTTGCTCTTCTGTGTCTATGGGGTCAGAGAAATTAGTTCTTCCCTTGTAAAACTCATTCCTTTCCTATACCATGCTTGATATGCTTTTCAATAAACAGAAAATGTGCTCCTTTGTTAGAAGGCATCAAACTCACCCTTGATTAGACAACTCCAGGTCAATTTCTTTCATATTGCACTGCCACCGGGTATTTAATAATTGTACTAGAATTTACATATTTCCATAAACTATTAAGTAACAGAGATAGGAAGAATATATGACTAAAATGCATGTTTGCTGAATGGGAGGCTATTATTCTTCATTATTAGTGCACTGTAGAGAATTCTCTTGTCTCTATCACAGAATATATTTCTTTTCCCTTTTGCTCAGGTGTCTGACAGTGGTGTGGTTGCGCTTGTTAGTGGACCATGTGCCAAACAATTAGAGGTAATTTTTAAATGGCTAGGAAAATACTAAACTTTATTTTATTCTCAAGAAAAAAAATTATTGGGGGCTGGAGAGATGGCTCAGAGGTTAAGAGCACTGCTTGCTCTTCCAAAAGTCCTGAGTTCAATTCCCAGCAACCACATGGTGGCTCACAACGATCTGTAATGAGATCTGGTGCCCTCTTCTGGCCTGCAGGGATATGTGCAGACAGAACACTGTATACATAATAAATAAATCTTTAAAAAAAAAAAAGAAAGAAAGAAAAAAATTATTGGCAGGCAGGGTGCCAGAGAACAACTTTGTACATTTGGTTCTCACCTTCCACTTTTACATGGGTCCTGAAGAACTCAGGTCTTCAGGTTTGCATGGCAGGCCTCTATCTGCTGAGACATCTTTTCCCTCTGCCCATTTATCTTTTGGAGCTTTTTGTTTACTTATTTGAATTTTTGTTTTTGCTTTATATTTTGAGCCCATGCTGGCCTTGAATTTGCAGCAGTCTTCATGCCTCAGTCTCCCCCTAGTTAGAATTACAGTGAGTGTAATTCCATACCCAGCTTTCATCCTATTTTTTTTTTCCTTTTTAAAAAAGTATTTTGTGTTCCAGGGCTGGAGAGATGGCTCAGTGGTTAAGAGCATTGGCTGTTCTTTCCAGAGGACCTGGTTCAATACCCAGTATCCACATAGCAGCTCACAGTTGTCTGTAATTCAAGTTCCAGTGGATCCAATTTCACATAAATATACATGCAGGCCAAACACCAAATGTACATTTAAAAAAAAAGTGTTTATGGTGGCTCACATGCTTTAATCCCAGCACTCGGGAGGTAGAGTCAGGCAGATCTCTGTGAGTTCAGGGCCAGCCTGGTTTATACAGTAAGTCCCAGGCCAGCCAGAGTTACATGGTGAGATCTTGTCTAGAAACAAACAAACTTATTTTTATTTCATACAAATGGGTGTTTTGCCTGTATAAATACCTGTGCACCACATGCATGACTGATGCTTGAGGATATCAGATCTCCAAGAACTGGAGTTACAGTCAGTTGTGAGCCACTATGTGGATGCTGTGGATCAAATCCAGGTCCCATGGAAGAGCAGTTATTTTAGTTTATATTTAGTTTACATAAACATTAGTTATTTTGATTAGTACATTCGGATCATGGTTAGAGTCATGGAAAATCCCAAATGTGTTGCCAAGGCGGACATGGCTGTTGGTGGGGCAGGAGACTGAGAAGTGTCTATACAGACAAAGTGGAGTCAGTACAAGATGGAGTTATCTTAGTCACTTTAGTTCTTTTTTATGTAAAATTATTTTCCAAACATTTTGTGCTGTTATTATAGATCTAGTTTTAAAATCTTTTTCTTTCATTTTGTTTTCTATATAGGAAATTAACATGGGATACTGTATAAATCTAACTGATAAAGCTGTAGAAGCTGTCCTGACTGCCTGTCCTCAGATATGTATACTTCTTTTCCATGGCTGCCCCCTAATAACAGGTCAGTCTCACAGGTTACTTGTATTCAGATCTTGACTTCGTCTTTTACCAACTGTAGAACTTTGAGAAAATTTCTTAGTCCTTTAATTCCATTACTCATTATACTTATCAGTAAAATGATGCAGTATACTCCTTCACAGGCTTATCATAGTGATCATCTGATCTATTGGGATCTCAAAGCAGGTACTAGTTATGGTAATGGTGGTGGTGAAGCTCAGTGTTACCTACATAAGGATGATGATGCCAACAGTGGTCATGATCATAGTGTTAAGATGATATTTATGCAGACAATAAAAAAGTCAAGTTTATTACATCTATTAAATATGCTAAGTGACCAGCTGACTGTTGTTTACTCAAGATGTAGAAAGTGAGATTGAGAACAGTTTAATAGTCAGGTGTTGTTTTATCATCAGCACAGCAGCCGCACTGAATCTACTGCTGTTGCAGGTAATGACTGTGACTCCGCAGTCACTGACTGCCCTGCTGTACAGACTGAGGCTTGGCGGGACTTCTGCGCCCCCCAAAACTGCCTCTGCAGCCAAATGTAATTTTTAACTAAGTCTCTATCATTCTATTTTACCAGTAAAGACTTGGGAGTCAGATACTGGGGTGAAAACCTGCTAGCTCAAACCAGTTGACCTTCCTCCTTAGCCATCTACCCAGCAAGAGAGTGTCTCTTCCCCAGTCCCAAACCAAAAAGTCCCTAATACTTCCTATGCGTTTATCTATTTTCCACACTCCCTCTAACTCTCTATGACTACTTCCTGTCAACTAGTTGCTGGCTCCACCTCTTGACCCAAGATTGTATTTAATTAAAGAAAACTTGGGTTTCACAGTATGATCAAATATGGGGGTGGGGGTTGCACAGCACACCTTTAATCCTAGTACTTGGGAGGCAGAGGCAGCTGGATCTCTCTGAGTTCCAGGCCAGCCTAATCTACAAAGCGAGTTCCAGGCCAGCCAGGGCTACACAGAGAAACCCTGTCTTGGGGAGTAGGGTAAGAACAATTTAACCCAGGCATCATGACCAATCCCTGTATTCCCAGCCGGGGTAGGGTGGATGGCTTATTATTCAAGGTTAGCCTGAGCTACATAGTAAATTCTAGGCTGGCCTAGGCTACAAAAATCCTGTCTCAAATACCACCATAACAAAAATTTTATCCATTGAAAGCTGAGGATATGACTCAGCAGGTTCAGTCTTGCTGTACAAGAATGAGGTCCAGAGTTTGGATCCCCAGATCCCACCTATAACCCTAGCTTATGCCCAAGCAGGAGGTAGAGACAGGGAATCCCTGGAACAAATCGGCTAGCCAACCTAGCCAAAATGGTGAGCTCCAGTGTCAGATACATAAGGTGGAGAGCAATTAGGAAGACACCCAATGTCAACCTTAGGCTTCCACACACATGTCCACCTACACACACACACACACACACACACACACACACACACACACACACACCACATATACAACAGCAACAAAGAAAAAATCAGCCTAGCCATTGAGTTATGTATGCACTTAACCTATATAATGAATAAGCAGAGGTACTTATAAAGTAACTCTTACTTCTCCTGTACATTATTATCATTATTATGATTACCATTGAGCCTAGGCTAGTCCAGAACTCTAGGCCTAGGGGCAAAGGAGTACAAAGCATTCTTGTAGCCCTCTCAGTTTAATGATTTGCTACCTAGGCTTTCTATGTTTTGTGACAGCTCCACATTAGTTCCCTTCTATCTAAGGGAAATCTATGCTTAGGTAGTAAGAATATAGGTATTTCTCAACCTTGGTCCTCTCTTCAGCTTCCTGGATAGCATACTGTCAGTGCCCTGAGAACCAGGAGAGGGCACTGGATCCCCTGGAACTAGAGTTGCAGGGAGTTGTAAGCTCTGAAAGTTCTCTGAAAGAGCAGCAAGTACTCTTAACCACTGAGCTATCTCTCTAGCTCCCTGTTTTAATACTTCCTTATTTTAAAATCAGTGAGGTCCTATGGATTCCAAAATCTGAAAGTCATGAACAAGTAGGCTGGCATCAAATTTTGAAATGAAACAGTCTGTGAACCAGAGGTCTCTGGTCCTGTAACTTTAGCTGAAATAGCTCTGTCTTAATAGGCTTTTCTGTTTGTCTAGAGATAGCTTGCATATACAACATGTTATAAAATTTATCTCTGCTAATTTTACCTTTAATATTGTTCTAGTTAACATCTGGAAATAATCAAACTGGTATTTACCCTTCTATTTTTAATAGAAACCAAGTCAGGGGGAAAAATGTATATATAGTCAATGACGAAAATGATTCTTAGGCAAAAGCTTAGTATTTATTTGTGTATGTGTTCACATGCCATGGTAGACATGTAAGGTCAGAAGGTCTGGAGTCTGTTTTCTCCTTCCACCATATGAGTTTTAGGGATCAGTAGCAAGCAGATTTACTCACTGAGCCATCTCATTGGCCCCAAACAGCTTAAAATAAATACCATACCAAGTAGAAAGTATCCAGTTATGGGACAGCCTTTGTATAATAAAATTTTGTTGAAAGTTTAAAAAGTGAAATAAATACCATAACACTTAAGGATAATGAAGATTTTAAAAGTACTACCCAAGGGGTGTGGGGGGTGGTATGCATGTGGAGGGAAAAAAAAGTACTACCCCCCATTTTGTGAAGCTGTGGAAGTGAAGTCTGGATTACATTGGAGACCCCAAAATGTTAAAGGTAGACCCAAGCCAGGCGGTGGTGGCGCATGCCTTTAATCCCAGCACTCGGGAGGCAGAGCCAGGTGGATCTCTGTGAGTTCCAGGCCAACCTGGGCTACCAAGTGAGTCCCAGGAAAGGCGCAAAGCTACACAGAGAAACCCTGTCTTGGAAAACCAAAAAATAAAAATAAAATAAAGGTAGACCCAAGACATCTAAAGGAGATCTGCAGACAGGGAGTGGAACCAGCCCTAGAGACAGAAATGCTGTAGGCAGCAATGCCGGAGAGATGGAGCCATCTAAGCACTGGCATCTGACATGGACTACAGGATTGGAGTTTGTCCCTCTTTGGTCTAGTAGTTCCTCACTGTGCCACCGTCCCTCCCTTTTAGAATGGTAATGTATATCCCTGCCATTGTAAGTCGTTTGTATATAATTTGCTTTTTTATTTTACAAGGTTTAAAATTAAGAGAGTACACTGGGTGCACACACCTTTAATTCTGGAACTTCCAAGGCAGAAGCAGGCAGTTTGAGTTTGAGGCCAACCCTGGTCTATATAGCAAGTTCCAGGACTGCCAGGGCTATGTAGAGAGGCCCTGAAGGGGGTAAATTTGGGGGGGTTGCTTTGAATCTTAGAATTGACTCTGAACTTTGAACTTTTAAAAAGTGTTGAGACTGTGATAGACTATGGGGACTTCTGAAGTTGGAATACATGCATCATGATATGGCCACAAGCCTATGGGGTCAGGGAGTGGAGTGTGGTGGTTTGAATGAGATTGACACCCATACGTTCATGTTCATATGTGTGAATACGTGGGCCCCAGTTGGTGGAACTATTTGGGAAGGACTAGGAGGTATTGCCTACTTGGAGGAGGTGTGTCACTGAGGGTAGGCTTTGAGGGTTTTGGTTTTGGTTTTGGTTTTTCAAGACAGGGTTTCCTTGTGTAACAGCACTGGCTGTCCTGGAACTCGCTTTGTAGACCAGGCTGGCCTCAAACTCAGATCCATCTACCTCTACCTCCCAAGTGCTGAGATTAAAAGTGTGTACCACCACAGCCCGGCTAGGCTTTGAGGTTTAAAAGACACCATTCCCAGGTTTCTCTCTGTCTCCTACTTGTAGGTCAAGATGTGAGATCTCATCTGTTCTTGCTCCCATGCTTTTGCTCTGCCATCATAGACTCTAACCCTCTGAACATAAGCCCAATTAAATACTTTCTTTTATAAGTTGCCTTGGTCATGGTGTTTTGTCACACCAATAGAAATGTAACTAATACACATCTTATCAATAAGGGACAAGATCATCTCAACAGAAACAGAAAAACTACCTGAGAAAAATTCAACACATACAACACTCCATATCCTGTTAAGAGGCATCAGTTAACAGCCTGGTCTATAGAGCTAGTTCCAGGATAGCCAGGCCTCTTACACAGAGAAACCCTGTCTCAGAAGAAAGAGAAAGAGGGAGGGAGGGGAGGAAGGGATGGTGGGGAGAGAGAGAACTGTTATTGCTGAAAAGTACTGACTCCTCCCTTGGACCCATATTTACCAAAAGCAGAATGAACCTTGGATCTCAGCCTTCATTTTATATTTGTACATTTTACATTCCTTTACTCTGGGTTAGTCACCTGTTTAATGCTGCAGAGTTAAGTATTTGAATGCCTCTCTGAGATCTGATGACATCTATGGTAGTTTGAAAGAAAGTGGCACTACTAGGAGGTATGATCTTGTTGGAGGAAGTGTATCACTGTGGAGGCAGGCTTTGAGGTCTCATATATGCTCAAGATACTGACCAGTGTCTCAAACCACTTCCTGTTGCCTGTGAGTCAAAATATAAGACCTCTCCAGCTTCCTTTTCTAGCACCATGTCTGCCTGCATGCTGCCTTGCTTCCTGCCATGATGATAATGGACTAAACCTCTGAAACTGAAAGCGAGCCACCACAATTAAATGTTTTCCTTTATAAGAGTTGTGTGGTCATGCTGTCACTTCACAGCAATAAAAACCCTAACTAAGACAACCCCTAACAGGTGAGAGTAACATCATCTGTCAACTTTTATCATGTTCTATTCTGTACTTCCAAAGGACACCTGAAAGTTGCTGGTTACTGTCCCAAACCTCCAGTCATCTTGGATTCCAGAAAAAAACAGATCTCTAAAGTTGAAAATGTTATTAGTGAATTCTCCTTTGAGCCTCTAAAAGAAAGCACAGACAGGCCAAACCCTAACAGATCCATTTTAGAATCCTGTCCTTTAAAACTATACAATAATAAATTGATACTGTTTTAAACCACTGAATTAGGTGCTTGTTAGAGCGACAATAGGAAACGAATACAAGGTAAATATATTAATTGAGTTTCAGATGTTAAAATCCAGGCAGTCGGGCTGGAGAGATGGCTCAGTGGTTAAGAGCACTGACTGCTCTTCCAGAGGACCTGGGTTCAATCCCCACCACCCACATGGCAGCTCACAACTGTCTGTAACTCCAGTTCCAGGGTTTCTGACACCTTTATACAGACGCACATACAGGCAAAACACCAATGAACATAAAATAAAAATTATTTATATATAAATCCAGGCAATCATGGTATATGATCTTTTTGCAGTTGCTAGATTTGGGTAGTGCAGATTTTGTTGAGGATTTTTGAGTCTGTATTCATAAGAGATACTGATTTTTCTTTCTTCCTTTCTTTTGTGATATCTTTGATTATATTTGCTGTCAAGACAGTAGTGGCCTTCTACAAAGTCTCTCCAGTTTTTTACAGTAGCTCTTTGCATCCTGTATCTTTGTCCAGTTCCTTACTTTTAACATGTGATTTTGTTTGTTTGTTGGGGTGCTGGAGTTGTACCCAGGACCTTGAAGATGCTAAACAAGTGCTGTACCATTGACTTACACCACTAACCTGAAATCTGTATTTTTTTTCTCTTTAATTTACATTTTTTAAAATGTCGTATGTTCCTATGTGTGAGGTGCACATGTGGGGGGGGGGTACATGTACATGTTTGTGTGCCTATGAAAGCCAGAGATAACCTTAGTTGTCCTTCTTCAGGAGTCAGCCTCTGAGCCCTAAGGGTCTTCCTGTCTCCACCACTAGAATTAGAAGTGTGCGATATCTTACCTTTCTTTTTTTGGTGGTGGTGGTGGGCATGTCAGGGTCTCTCACTATGTAGCTTTGGCTGGCCTGAAACTCACTTATGTAGACCAGTCTGAGCTACATAGAAAGAGCCTTTCTCAAAAGAAAAAAACATTTACATTGTTCAGAGTGCAAAATCTAATGATAATGAAGAGTACCATTAACTAATTATTAATGAGTTATTCAGTTGTATACTATGCTTTGAATTTAAAAGTACATTTATTTACCAGGGCTGGCAATCTTGCTCAGGGGTTAAGAGCACTGGCTGCTCTTCCAGAAGACCCAGGTTCAATTACCAACACGTGCATGATGTCTGTAACTCCAGTTCAGGGAATCTGATGCTCTCTTCTGGCTTCTGTGGGCACCAGGCAGACAAGTGGTACACCAACACACATTACATACATTCAGGCTAAGCACATAAAATTTAAAGTAAACAATTTTTTATTGTTTGTTTGTCAGGACAGTGCTTTTCTGTGTAACCCTAGCTTTCCTGGAACTCACTTTGTAGACTAGGTTGGCCTCAAACTCACAGAAATCCGCCTGCCTCTCCCTCCCGAGTACTGGGATTAAAGGTGCATGCCACCATGTCCAGCAAAATAAATAATTTTTTAAATATACTTTGTAACTTACATTTACTTATTTGTGTGTAGAGAGGTGCATATGTGATATCTAGTGTGCATGTAGAGGAGGTCACACTATTCACCCTACCCTGTGGCTCCCAGTGATGGAGCTTGGGTTGTCAGGCTTGGCAAGAAGTGCATTACCTCTTGAGCCATCCCACCAGCTCCAATGTGCTTCATATTTCATGTTGTTTTTAACCCTTCCAATAACCCTGCAATAGCTATCATCACACCTAGCTTTTGTTTGTTTTTTCTTTATGTCAAGACAGCATCTTATATAGCCCAGGCTAGCCTCCAGCTTGCTATGATCTGGGTCTGCCTTAAATTCCTGAGTCTCCTACCTAAACCTCCCAAGTACCAGTAGTAAAGGCATGCATTACCACACCCAGCCTATATCCAGTTTACATATGAAAAAACATTAAATATCTTTAATTGTTATAAATTAATATATTGTCATTGTTCTCTTTTATAGATCATTCACGAGAAGTCTTGGAGCAATTAGTAGGATCAAGAAAACTAAAGCAAGTGACTTGGTCTGTTTATTGATCTTCACAGAGGCTGATCTGAGGAACTTTTCCAGGATATGCTCTATAAATGTTTGTTTTTCACTTAATTTTAACACTAATTTATTATTTTATTGTCTTAGTTAAGCTGTAACTCCCAGAGAACCAGTTCAATCTTAATGTAAATGGTTGTGCTTTAAAGTTAACCAGACTCAGCATTTTAACACTTCTATTATCTCATATTTGTTTGATGAGCCATCTTTCTATCACTTGATGGGAAGGAGGCTGGGTTTGCTTCTTTAATAACGAAAGTTTCAGATGATTTATTTTCCCTTTATAGTCCGTTCTCTGGCGTAGGTATTTGAGCTGTTGTAAGAGACATTATGGGTAGAATTCTAAATAAAGATTCTTTAAAAAGCGTAATTACCTTTTGAATTGATTTCTGGTTTTTACCTTAATGAAATGTTCAGCCAAAAGCAAAGTAGAACATAAGGCCTATTATCTCTTCACTGAAATGGATACACTAGTTTCACAGGAATCAGTGGCAATAATTCACCAGTTATAATGAGACACTCAGCTGGAAAAGTGGCTCAGTGGTAGAACACTTGCCTAGTTTGCATGATGCTAGGCTTGGATTCTCAACACCAAAAGATTAATATTGGGGGTGGGCAGCCATTCAACATATTCACATTACTGAGGCTTTTGCTCAGACACTCATTTCATTGATTTTTACCCCACTCAGTTCTAGGGCTTGAACTCAGGGCCTCATATACTAGGCAGACAGGCTACCACTGAGCTGTATCCCAAGGCAGTTTCATTGGGTTTTATGGCTGCTCTTTCCAAGTACATTTTGTTCATCTATGAGCTTCTTCCTAGGCAAAATCAGATTCATAAATGTGTGTGTGTGTGTGTGTGTGTGTGTGTGTGTGTGTGTGTGTGTGTGTGTTGTTTTACTGGGTATTGAATCTAGGGTTCCATGCATGCTTGGTAGGTGCTGTACCATTAGATTATATCTCCAGTCCCAGAAATGTGTACAAATTAAGTATGAAATGCCATTATAGGGCTGGGGGTGGTACATGTAATCTCATGATTGCATCTCAATCTTATAAGCACTCATAATTGTGGTAGTCTAAAAGATGGTTTCTTATTTAACTGTACAATTTCTATGAATAGAAACATACTAAAATGATTCATGCTAGATCTATTGTTCCATGTGGACTGCAGACACTTAAAGGTTTTGTTCTCCATCCTTAGCCACTGACAAGGTAAATATTGGCCAAAGTGTCCTCATAGAACTTTCACAGAGCAGAATTGCAGGTGTCTGGCCTTGGTATATCTTAGTCCTTCAAGAGATCAATAGCACCTATGTTGCCCTAAGCTTCCTCCACTAGCACCTCCCCACTCTGATTCAAAGAACAATGAACACTTTGTATTTACTTCTATACCAGTTTTTAATGCAAGGTTTTAGATTCAGTAGACTAATTATATATAGGTCCTGAGATTCAGTTAACTAACATAAAAAGGTTAACTAACTAACCATGTGCTGTGGGATGTTCTGTATGTCCTGTGGGAGCCTGTTCTCAGGTTCCTCATGGCTTTACCCAGCAGGTTGGCATAGAGGATGATTAGGACCATGGGCCTGAGTGCAGGTGTCTGAGATGATCTGCACTTGGCTGTGCTGGGGGATGGTCTGTATGTCAAGTTGCTCTGATTGGTCAATAAATAAAACCTGATTGGCCGTGGCTAGGCAGGAAGTATAGGCAGGACTAACAGGAGAAATAAAAGAACAGGAAGGCAGGAGTCACTGCCTGCAGCAGCCGCCAGGACAAGGAAGATGTAAAGTACCGGTAAGCCATGAGCTACGTGGCAGGTATAGATTTATGGAAATGGATTAATTTAAGCTATAAGAACAGTTAGCAAGAAGCCACGGCCATACAGTTTGTAAGCAAAATAAGTCTCTGTTTACTTGGTTGGGTCTGGCGGGTGACAGATTTGTCCTGACTGTGGGCCAGGCAGGAAAACTCTAGCTACAATCATGTCTGGATATTATTAATCACATGAAATAGTACACATATTCCTTGCCTTTTCCTTAAATCTCTCATTGGTTTAATTTCTTTCCTTGTAATCTTTGTAGCTATCCCTTTAAGAGATAGCCAGAACTTTTTACAACCTACAGCTGTTGTCAATCACCAATTAAGCTGACTGAGTCTTTGCCAAGTGTGACTTTTATCAGAATACTTGTCCCTGAGAGTCGACTTTGTAGTTTATACTAACAAGTTGTTAATGAATGGATATACATACATACATACATACATACATACATACGTGCATGCTTGGGGGAAAAGAGGAAAGAAGATGGAAAAGACCTAGATATCAGAGAACAGCAATAGGAAAATTGATTGAGAAGAACAAAGAAGAGGACAAGATGGAAAGAACTAGATAGAGATGAGAGAACACCAGAAGGGACTGAGAGGAGCTAAGTATGAGAACAGAAAAGAAGCTGTGTAGATAGAATTGACTTTGAAGAATAAAGTGAATGAACTAAGGAACTCAGTGTGCTTAGATTCATTTGATATCCCTCAGAGTAGTATCCTTAACCAATTGTAGCATCTGTTCTCGACCCTGACAGAAATCCCCTCAAGGCAGGAACTTGGGGGGAATTTGATAGAATATGAGGTCTCTGACCTCACCAATGGATTAGTTCATTAATGGATTCTTAACTGAATGGACTATTGGGAAGACAGGGTTCAAGAGAACAGCCCTGAGCCAATTTTTCATACCTCTTTTTTTTTTTTTTTTTTTTTTTTGGTTTTTTCGAGACAGGGTTTCTCTGTGTAGCTTTGCACCTTTCCTGGATCTTGCTCTGTAGCCCAGGCTGGCCTCGAACTCAGAGAGAGATCCGCCTGCCTCTGCCTCCCGAGTGCTGGGATTAAAGGCGTGCGCCACCACCGCCCGGCTCATACCCCTTTTATAGGGCAAAACTGCAGGGTGGGAGATTTTGCAAGCAAGCGTGGTTACAGAAGCAAGACTAGGCAGTTAAGGAAATCTTCCTGGAACATCTGTTACCGAACAGTCTATGGTTATGATGGTGGGGCACAGCCCAGTTCTGATAAACAGAAACTTAAGTTTTACAGTAAATGGAAATTAACTAGAATTGGTTTGCTGATTACAAAATTGAGTTGGGCTGATTCCTCATGGATGGGAACTCTAGGAGGTGCGGCTTTGTTGGAAGAAGTCTGTCCAGTTGTGTCCTTAGAGGGTCTATCTTATTCCTGGTTTCTGGCTCTCTGCTTCCTGGCCACTTCTACTGCATACTGTTGTTGCCGTAACATCCTACCTTGCCGCCGCTGCACAACAGTGGAGCCAGAGACCAAGGATTGGAGCCTCTGGGAAATGAGCCAAAATAAACCACTCCTCTTTTAAGTTGATTTTTATCAGTTATTTTGTTACAGTAACAGAAAGATAACTCTCTAGTTCCTTATCTTCCAGAGATATTTTATTAATACTGCAGCAAATTGTGTATATTATATATATAGATACATATAGAGATATACTTTCTACATAGTCAGTTGTATATGATATGTATTATTCACATTATTTTTGCTTAGAGTTCAGTGTTTTGCTGTTATAAAATCCTGACAACCTGGTATATGAAGTGGGAACATAACCATTACTAACTTTAGTAAACCATACAGAGTTATCCAAGGTGTTAGAGCAAAGGAAGAAAGAAATTTATTTTTTCCCTTTTTCTTTTTTTTTTTTTTGAGACAGGGTCTCACCATGTAGCCCTGGCTGTCCTGGAACTCACTGTAGACCAAGCTGGCCTCAAACTCACAGAGATCCACCTGCCTTTGCCTCTCAAGTGCTGGTATTAAACACGTACATGACTATGAAGGGCCAGACAGAGGAAATTTCAAATAACTTTCTCCATTAGATAGGGTTTCATTATGTAGCTCTAGCTGTCCTGGAACTAACTCTCACTATGCAGACCAGTCTGGCTTCAAACTCGCAGAGATCAGCCTACCTCAGCCTCCCAAGTGGTGGGATTCAAGCCTCAAGCCACCACACCCCACTGAATTGCATTCTTTAAACTGAACCTCCTACAGAGGAAAGTTTTAGAGTTTAATACAAACAGAACTATACCCATAATAAAAGCACTCTGAAAAATCAGGGATGAAATTCCCACACTGCACTTGTGGTCAGTCCATTGTTATCCTGCTGAGTTGGCTCTGGAAGTGTGTATTCTTCCAGATGATGCAGCCGACGCCGAATGCTGTGTGCACTGAACTGGGGCCTCCCAGGGTCACCAATCAACACTCGGGTTCTGTGGGTCCAAAAGTAGTTCTCCAGCCACAGATGAAGACTGTCTGCAAGGTCTTCATCATAAAACATATCTCCAAGAACAATGACATCAAACTTACCTTGTTGGGTATTCAGAATGTTTTCAGTTAAAATGGGAAAAGGATTCAGTCCATTTAATTTGCAATTTAGTGTAATCGCCATTCCTGCAACTTTACAAAACATGATAAATTGGTCTGTAAGCATTTATCAGAAAGCTACTGTACTTTCTTGTTAAGGTGTTTAAAAACACCTTTTTTTGAGCCAGGCAGTGGTGGCACACACTTTTAATCCTAGCACTTGGGAGGCAGAGGCAGGTGAATCTCTGAGTTTGAGGCCAGTCTGGTCTACAAAGCGAGTTCTATGTCAGCCAGGACTGTTACACAAAGAAACCCTGTCTTGAAAAGTAAAAAAATAAATAAATAAAAACAAAAAAACACCTTCTTTTTCCTCCACATGAGCTCTATATTTCATTTTCTATTTTAGCCCAAGCTTTCTCAAAACATAAGTATTTATCAGTAATGATTAATATGAATTCTGCATAAAGAGTTCTTTAACATAGCTTATAAACAATTTCATTCTTTGTGATAAAAACTTTAACAGACAATATGCCTCTTTACTCTTCAGGAAATAGTATTTAGAAATTTTGCCAATTTAGTAATTATTAATTTATTAATTATTAAAAATTCACAACATCCTGTAACTCCACAACATGTAAGCCTTGTGTATAGAGTCTGTATCATTTGCTATTTAGATCTCTTAACCAAGATCTTAGTACTAATGAGGGAAGTAATTTGTTGCAGTAAAGGTCACCTTTTTGGCAAAGAGAATGTCATCATGCCTCCAAACCTTGCATAAATATTTGTCTGCCATTTTTACAAACTGTAAAAGTCCATGGGGGATAGTCTGAGTTTCTGTGGTTGGACACCTTTTTTAATCGAACAACAGGGGCCAGGGAGATGGCTTTGCAGGTTAAGATGCTTGCCACTAAATCTAAGAGTTCAATGCCTGAAGGCCAGGCATGGTTGCACACTTTAACCCCAGCACTTAGCAGGCAGAGGCAGGCATATCTCTGTGAGTTTGGGCCAGCCTGGTCTATACAGGGAGTTCCAGGACAGCCAGGACTACACAGAAAGAACCTGTCTCAACAAACCAGAGTTCAATGCCTAAAACACATGGTGGAAAGGGGGAACCAAATCTCACAAGCTATCCCCATCTCCCCTGGGGATGTGCACACACAGATGAATAAATAAATAATTGTAAAAATAATCTAATATCTCCTTTGTTAAAGGGATTTTGTTGTTGAATTTAACTTTTTGTGCTTTGGTGTTTTGTCTGCATTCATGTCTGTGTGAGGGTGTCGGATCCCCTGGAACTGTAGTTACAGACAGTTGTGAACTGCTATCTGGGTGCTGGGAATTGAACCTGAATCCTCTAGAAGAGTAGCCAGTGCTCTTAACCCTCGAGCCATCTCTCCACCCCCTACCCCAACCCCACCCCCATTGTTATTTTTTTAGGGAAAGAAGTTTAAAGTTTATATCAGTATAAACTATATACTGGCTGGGCATGATGATGCATACCTGTCACTCCAAGACTTGGTAGTATGCAGCAGGAAGATCCTTGCAAGTATTAGCCAACCTGGGCTACAAAGGGAGGTACCAGGCCAGTTGGGTATACAGCCTAAAACCCTGTCTCAAATCAACAAAAAACAAAACAAAGTGGCTGGACATAGCGGTGCATGCCGATAATCCCAGCACTTGAGAGATGAAAATAGGAAGATCAGAAATCCAAGATTACCCTTAGCTACATAGCTAGTTGAGGCCATCTGGGCTATATGAGACTCTGTCTCAAAAAAAAAAAAAAAAAAAAAAAAGAGGAAGGAATTGGTCTAGGAGAGATCAGTTATCCTGACTCCATACCCACCTCCCAGAACTACATCCGGCTTGACAGAAGTTTCTCCTGAGAAATGATGCTTGTAAAATGTTTAAAAGATCAGCGTTCCTCCTTCCTTTTTGGGAAATAATCCCTTGTTTAAAGTAAAAACTCCCCTACCCTGCACCTCATGTGATTTAATTGTCTTTTATCTTTATAAGTTCTGTAGTGTTTAATCTCGGGGAAGAGAGTTCACTGGGACAAAAGCCTGCTCTCAGTCTCTTCAACAAAGGACTCCTATTTGGCCTTATATTCAAGGTGGTCTATAACTTTCTCATGTGGACTATAACCAAGAAAGAAAATTTTTAAAAAGCTATATACTGAATATAGAGCAGCAATGGTGGGATTTTTATGAACATTTTCTGCTTATTTTTAGTATGTTTGTTTACTGTAGATAGAAAAACAAATGTTAGGTTTGATTATAACTGAAACCTCTTAATAAAATAAGACCCCTGGAGGGCTCTACCCTAAATGAAGGTAGGATCAGAAAAAAATCAGATTAAATAAAAGCTTACCTGTCACCACCTGGGCCTCTTCTTTTCTTTTCTTTTGTGTTTTGTTTTGTTTGAGACAGGGTCTCATTTTGTAGCCCTAACTGCCCTGGAACTCTGAAGTCTACCTGTCTCTGCCTCCTGAGTGCTGGAATTAAAAGTGTGGGCTGCCATACCTAACACAACTTAGGTCTTAATGCAGTAAAAATATCCACTAAAGACACAAACTTATCTTTACTTGAATTTGTGTCAAATAAACATTACTTACACATTTCAGGGAATTCTCAACCCAGAAGCTAACACACACGCCCAGCTTTGTATCCCTCTGGAATGTCTAGCAACAAATCAAATCCTCTTGGGGAGATGCACTGTCAGCCCAGGCCCCAGATAACGTCCCACTGAGTATACCTCACAGTATCAGATTACAAAAACAAGGCAGTAAGCGATCATGATGTATCCTGAGAGGGGGTGAGCTTTAAACGTTTTAAATATGCAGTCCTTACTGGGGTCTATGTCGTTGGCCAAGATCTTTGATGCTCCACTCATCTTAGCAGCGATTGCTGCAGCCCCACATCCACTCCCCAGATCTAAGACAGACTTTCCTCTGACAACATCCGGGTTATCCAGAAGATACCTAAAGTAGAAAGAAAAGAGAAAATACCTGAGGTATGGAAAAGGACAGTGAGAAGTATAAAAAATAAACAAACCAAAACAGGAAAGATGGTTCAGCAGAGAAAGATGCTTGCTGCCAAATCTGATGACCTGAGTTCAACATGGAAGGAGAGAACCAATTCATGAAAGTTGTCCTCTGACCTCCACAGCACACCATGCATTCCTGTGCTACCACACACAAACACACGAAGCAATGAATTAAATGTAATTTTTCCCATGGTATAGAACCCACCTGACCTAGACCAGTGGTAACAATACTATTCCTGGGAAACAGGACACCTTTTTTTGATAGCTATACACCCTAAAGACACAACCAGATGAAATCAGGACCCATGCTAAAGCAGAGAAGACCGACATGCTAAAAGTACCCGACTTTGTTTCAGTACCCGACTTTGTTTCAGTTACTATTTCTTAACAAAAAGTATCGTTGCAGCTATACAAAAAAACAGGACGGGGGGGGGGGTGGTTAAAAAATGCAGAATCCAAACAAATGTAGGGTCCACCTAAGATGTCCTTGAGCTGCCAAAGACGAGAACATTCCAAATGATCACTCATACTGTCGTGTGCAGAAGAGGAAGTTCTAGGGGAGGCTGGAATCTACAATATTAAAGCAGGATCTTTGAAGGGCTGGGTCTTTAGGATCCACCTCAGAACTCTGTGCTTACTGTTGACATCCACATGAACCTGAGCGCAAATTAAGACATACGAATCTTTTATGGCCATGTAGGTTCTTTAACAGCTGACATTAGTTTCTTGTGGGGTAGAAGCTTTACTTATGGAAATACCTTAAGAAATCTTGTGTAAGGGGGTGAAACTATGCAACGAACACCAAAGGTATGAACAAACTGCTATCAAAACAAGACTTTGGGGGTGAGGAGTGTGTTACAAAAATTAGTATGAGGGCTGGAGAGTTGGCTCAGCAGTTAAGAGCACTTGTTGCTCTTGCAGAAGATCCAGATTCAAGTCCCAGAACCCACATGATAGCTCACAGCTGTCTGTTACTCCAGTTCCAGAGGATCTGATACCTTCTTCTGATCCTCATGGACACCAGGCACACATGGGGTACACAGACATACATTCAGGCAAAACCCTCATACACAAAATATTTTAAGAAAAAGTTGCTCAGTGGCACATGCCTTTAATCCCAGCACTAGGAGGCGGAGGCAGCTGGGATCTCTGTGACACCCAGGCCAGCCTGGTCTACATAGCTCCAGGACAGCCAGACTGCACGAGTGACACCCTGCCTCAAAAAAAAAAAAAAAAAAAAAAAAAAGTTAATATGACTCACTGCTGTAACCAAACACCTGACAACATGGTTTGGAGATATAATCCATCATGGGGAGGGAGGCCTGGCAGTAGGGGGCTGTGGCAGCAGAAGTATGAGAGTGCTTGCTCACATCAGTATAAATTATGAAGAAAAGAATTCCAGGACTCAGCTTTCTTCCTTTTTCTGTGTTCACACTCCTACCGGAGCAGTGCCACTCACATTTACGGTGGCCGGGCCCTCAGTTAAGCTTCACTGGAAACATCCTTCCTTTTTGTCAACTTGACACTAGCTAGAGGCAAGTGGGAAAAGGGGACTTTCAACAGAAAATGCCTCCACCAGCTTGGCCTGTGGGACATTTTCTTCTTAATAATGACTTGCCTGAGTCCAACTCCAGTAGTCTTCTATAATATTAGAATAACCAGCCTCAATATTATACATCCCAGGGGCTCAGGAGAGAGAACTACTAATGGCGAGGACTATTTTCAGGAAATAGAATCTCAGCACACCAACCTCTATAGTCCACTTGCTTTAATTCCTCTGGCATAACATCCTTCATACACAGCTTCAGTTCTGTTCTCATGTCTAGCTCCTTTCTTGCCTGATTTCTCTATATTTATCTACTGTTCCCTCTAGGTTCTATCTTAATTCCTTCATCTAGTTCTGTCCCTTCTAGGTTCTCATCTATCTAGTTCTTTCCCCTATCAGCTCCTCTCCCGTCTCCTTCTCTCTCATCTGGCTCTTCCTCATCTCCCATCTTGTTCCTCTAGTCCTCTCTTTTAGCCCTTCAATCTAGTTCTTCCCCATCTCAGTTTGTTCCTCTCAAGTTCTTACCCATCTAGTTCTTCCATTCTCTTTTCTCTTCTCCCCTGTGCCCTGGAAGTCCTGGTATATAAAGGGAGGGTCCGAGCTAAATTGTGTAAAGCTATTACTTAATGTCCACCTGACCTAGGTGGTGTCTCCTTGTGGAATTTACCTTAAATCAGGAGACTTGCATGTGGACTGTTATTACTGCTAGTCCTTGAAAGTGGCTAAGGGAGATAATCTGATTGCAGAGAAAGCCTTTACTGAGGCTGTTCTCCAAATACCTAGAATGTGTATGTCCAGAGAGTCTACACTGTTAGTCCTTCTTAGGGGAAAGTCAATTGGAAAAACTATGAAGGCACACATGATTTTCATAACAGAATACAGCTGATATATAACAAGCCAAGTAACACCAAAAACTCCTTGAGATTTGGCTTCCTCTGGAGGAATTCCCTGGTCCCTCCAGGCAGTGACTTTGCCATAACCAGCTGAGTTCTTATGATATTCCTGCGGCCCGCAGCACAGTAGGGTTCAGGTCAAGATGAGGTGTGGAGTTGGGCAGGTAAAGGAGGAGACTGACAGGATCTGAGGTGAATCTGGATGGCTACTTTATTGGGGCGGGGACACTACAACTTTTATAATCTATAATTGCACAGAGGATTAAATGAGAAGGGGGGCGTGTGAGCTGGGGTGTGACTTGTGATCAGGGATTGAGGAAATTAGCATAGATCTTGACAAGTTAATAGTCACCACAGTCATATGTTAATGGAAGGGCCACAGGTTCCTCTTCCCGGAGATAAAAATGATTCCCTTTTAGCAAGTGGCTGGATCCACTCCCTATTAGCTCTCCTCAGCAGGTATCCCATGGCTCTGGCATCTCCAACATGTTGGGGTCTCCAAGGCAATCCAGGGCTTCACCTTCACAGCTTCACGCAATGGCCTCTCTAGGCCTCCATGCAGGGACACCCCTGACACATGCCTGGGCTCGGCAGCTTTCCTTACTCTTAGGGGCAAATTCCACAGCCCCTTTCTTCTATCCTTAACTCCAGAAGCTACCGAGTTCTTCTGCTTACTGGGGCTGGAACATAGCCCCCTTGTTCAATTACATCTTCACCAACTTTCTGTCCTTCATTCTCTAAGCTTGGCTGTCCTGAAACTGGATCTCTAGACCAGGGTGCCTTGAACTCAAGAAATCTGTATGCCTCTGCCTCCTGAGTACTGGGATTAAAGGTGTGCATCACCACACCTGGCTCTAAGCTTTTCTTTGATTCTTTTTCTCACGTTGGAAGATTAGCTGGGTGGGGTCTTGCCCTGAGGTCACCACTCCCTATACAGCATTTATATCCTGCTCCTCTTTAATCTGTTGGTCTCCTGGAACATAGGACTTAGCTCCATTCCACTCCCTGGTGCCCTTTTTCTCCTTGAACTGTACATTTTGTATTTTTCCTTGCTCAGCTTGCTTCTTTTCATTATAAATCTTCATCAGAGTTAACACTAATAACCACACAACAGTCTATACTATACTGTTTTGAGATTTCCTCTGCCAACAGAATTAATTCAAAACTCTTCACTTTAGCCTCAGGTAGACTCTTCGGACAAGAACAAAAAGCAACCACATTCGTCATCAAAATCTCATAAAAACAATTTCTAGACAACATACTAAAATTCTTCTCCTCTGAAATCTCCTGATCCAGCCCCAGACAGTTCAAATCATTATCAGCACCACTGTCTCCCATGCTTTCCTACTAGTATCGCCCATTAAGCAGTGCTTAAAGCATTCCACTGCTTTTCTAACCCAAAGTACCAAAGTCCAAATTCCTCCAAACAAAACATGGTAAAGTACAACAATATCACAGTCTCTGGTACCAACTTATGTCTTAGTTAGGGTTTCTATTGCTGTAAAGAGACTCCAACACCATGGCAACTCTTATAAAAGAAACATTTAATTGAGGTACCAGCTTAGAGTTCAGGGTTTAGTCCATTATCACCATGGCAGGGAGCATGGTGGTGTGCAGGCAGACATGGTGCTGGCTACACCTTGACCAGAAGGCAACAGGAAATAGACTTTGACACTGAGCGAAGCTTAAGCAAAAGAGAACTCAAAGCCTGCCCCCACAGTGACGTTATTTCTCTAACAAGGCCTTATCCCCTCCAACAAAGCCACACCTTCTAATAGGGCCACTCCCTATGAGATTATGGGGGCCACTTACATTCAAACTACCACAGGGGCTTTTGTCTAAATGTCTGAACTTGGGAAAAGAATTTTCTTGGGGGACCAGACACTCCAATATAGAATATTGCAGGTTTTATTTATACATAGCTTAATTTATCCAAATAGCTAAAGCTTAAAGTGAGTAAAGATGAAGTTAGACAAATGTTACTGTGAACCTGAATAGACCTTAGGAATTTACCAATCTTGATTATCAAATATACCTTATTAATCAAGCATATGTTATTTATCCAAATTTTCTAGCAGTTTGGTGTTAACTTGTGTGGGAGTACACAGAGTCATCACACTATATTGGTTCCATGGTGGCAGAGATTTTTTCCAAGATTATTATTTTGTTTAAAGGGGTTGCCATTTTATATGTTTTCATCCTTCAAAGCCTGCACAAAATTTCTCAAAAGAAAATGCACAAGGGAACTCCCAAAACACATGGGAGAATCATTAAAAATGGAAGTAAAGGTGCTGGGGAATTGTGATCCACAAAGTCGAATGCTGGAACTAACTAGTCAAGCAGCAATGGTCCCCATGTGATCCACACCAATGATTGATGTGGGAGGGCCCAGCCCTCTGAGAGCAATGCACTGGCAGGTAATGCTGTCTGGTATTAGAAAGCAAGCTGAGCAAGCCATGAAGAGCAAGTTAGGAAGCAGAGCTCCTCCATGGCCTCTGCTTCAGTTCCTGCCTCAAAGTTCCTGACTTGAGTTCATGCCCTGACTTTCTGGATGATAGACCGTGATCAAAAAACTGCTTTTGGTTGTGGTTTTTTATTACAGCAATGAAAACTCTAACAAAAGCACACCCTCATGACATGCCCACAGTAGGTAATTCCAAATTCAACTGAGTTTACAACAAAGATTACCCATGACAGGTGTGAAGAGAACTACTTTGTCATTATAGTATCAACATCTATGACAGTTGTGAAGCCAAGCTAATTTAACAGTGGCCAGTTCTGGATGTAGCTATAGCCCTCTCTGAATTTTTTAGTTGACAATCCTTGTCTTCTCTCTTGGTCTCAGTTGAAATCCCAGACTCGAGAGGCCTCAATCCCCCACTCTCCTCTCTGTGGCAAGTGCCAAAGTCAAGTATGTGAGTATATAGATACTATTTAAAATTTTTTAAGAAAGCATTGCTATATATCACAGGATAGCTTCAAATGCTCCTGGCTCAGCTTCCAAGTGCTAAGACTACAAAGGGACACACACCATCATGGATAACTATAGGAGGCCTTTTTGGAAATGACTTTGACTTCCCATAGGACAAATCCTCTTCTATTTTATGAGAAGGATAGCAATACAAGCCATACATAAGTTGGGACCTGCATGAGCCCCAGTGACTTCTGGTTTTGCTGTTATGTTATAGGGCCAGAAAAAATAGCACGGAGGTGGGGGTGGGTGCTGAAGGGAAAAGGATCTTCAACAGCCTTAAAGATGCACATTTCACTGAGACATACCTAGACAGGGCCTGGCCTCCTGGCCAGTAGATTGCCCAGTAGGGATCACTGTAGGGCCACAGGTCAGCCCTTTCCCACCAGAACTTGCACCTGGGGGTCAAAAGCCGTAACTGGATTTCAGGGGTAAGGCTCCCACTGCTGGTGACTTCAGTGTTCTCCTCCAGGTAGGCTTTCATCTCAGGGTCCAAACAGCTCCCTACTGTCCTCCAGGGAAACAGGGGCAACCCACTGCTCATAGCCTGCAGGAAACGCCACTGGCTCCTGGAAGTTTTCCAACCCAGGCTGAAAGCCATTAGAACTTCTCCAAACCTCAGGCTCCGTCAGTGTTGCTATTAACAAGGACTGCTCCCCACGCAGACAGGGTGAGGGTCTGCCTCTCCACTTAGTGGACACTGGAAGTTTGGATCTGTACATCAAACAAACAAACAAGCAATACTGAAAATTCCTAGTCCATATCTTTCAACATAACAAGAAAATAAGCTAGTGTAAGCTCTAACAACTCACAAGCACAAGTTCATTTCAGAGGACAGCTTTGGCTTATCAATTTGAGTAAAGAAATCCAGTTACTTTTTTTTTTTAACTGTGAAATCCTTTCAGTAATTCATAATGACAAAAAATACACAGGCATTTTATTTTACAACAGTCTTTAAGAAAAATGAAGTAAGGTATACCTTTTTGTTATTTTGTTTTTAGGATACACTTGCTCTGGGGCTAAAGAGATGGCTCAGCAGTTAAGAGCACCTGACGCTCTTGCAGGAGAACCACGTTCAGTTCTTAGCACCCACATGATATCTCACAATCATAACTCCAGCTCCAGGGGATCTGGTGCTTTCTTCTGGCTTTGTCAGGCATCAGACACAGACAGACAGACAGACAGACACACACACACACACACACACAAGCACACGGTGCATTTATACACACACAGGCAAAACAGCCGTACCCATCAAATATAGACATACTGTAGCCCAGGCTGCACTGGAATTCACTATGTAGACCAAAATGACATCAAGCTTGCAGTTAGGCTCCTGCTTCTGTCTCCTGAGTGCTGAATTACAGCTATATGCCATTCTACCCAGCCTGGACTTCATTGTAATAGGACACCAACTTCTAAATTCCTGTCAATATTGACTCGACATTACCAAACCTAAACTTAAAATATCTATAACCCAAAGTATACACTGGTAAGGAGAAACAAGAAATGCCATCTTTTGTTTGTTTTCTAGCACAGGGCCTCTCTATTATGTAGCTCTGGCTGTCCTGGAACTCATGCCTTGAAATCACAGATATCCACCTGCATCTGCCTCCAGAGTGCTGGACTAATGGCTTGTGCCGCTATGCCTGACCTGCTGTTGTTGTAAAGATTTCTTTTTATTTGAGTGTGTAAGTGTATGTGACTGTCTGCAGAGGCCAGAGGCACCAGCTCCTCTTACAGGCAGTTGTGAGCTGCTGACATGGGTACTGAGAACTGACCTCGGTCCTCTGCAAGAGCAGCAGCAAGTGCTTTTAACCTCTGAGCCACCTCTCCAGCTCCTTTGTTGTCATTGTTTGCAGACAGTTTCATGGCTCAGATTGGCCTCCAACTAAATAGAAAAGGATGATGATGAATTTCTGACTCTCCTATGTCACAAGTGCTGTGCAGCCACTACTCCAGGTTTATTTTTGCTTGGGGTCAAACCCAAGGCTTCATGCATGCTAAGCAAGCACTCTATCAATGGCGCTTTAAGGTTCACAGCAGAGCAATAAGGAATTACTTTGAATTTGAACACCAAGTCTTCCCAGCACTGACAGTTTGGTTATGAAGAAGTTATAAAGACAATCTAAGTAGGTACTCAAATTATGCTATAAGAAAGATAGCAGGCTGGATATGGTAGTGCACAGCTTGCCTTTAATCCCAGAATTTGGGAGGTAGAGACAGGCAGATCACCGTGGAAGAAAGAAGCAGTGACAAAAAAGAGCTGAACTCAAGCCAGACTGTCAGTACACCCCGCCATACCTGACTGGGGCAGTGTGACTGTCTAGCGGTCTTGACTGGGTTCAGCTTTCTCTGCCAGTTACACAGTTAAAAAGCAGGAAAACTTTCAAGCTCAACAGGTAGCACGGGAGAAATCTCAGACACTGAAAACAGGAGCAGACAGGATCAATAGTTTAGGAAGGGCTTTTATAGAGGGGCGAAGAAGCACACATGCAGCAAACACAGAGAAAAAGACTCCTCCTCAAAGTAGAAGGGGCACTTGGGGAGCTGAAACCCAGTCTCTTCTTGAGGGTTAGGGTTTTTTAAGTCTCTGAAGGGTCTTGCTCCCCTAATTTGGTGTTGATCACTTTGAAGAAAGACGGGATGGCTGGCTGGACAACTATTGTGAAAACAAGTCCTGTTGGGGCTTTCAGCTTGTGGAGCCAGTCCCTCAGTAGGGGCCTGCAGGAAGGAGAAAAAGTTCACAGGGTCTTTGTTTTAAGATGCCAGGCTTTTGTCTCAGGTCAGGAGGGTGAGGAAAAACCATCCATTTCGGAAGTTTTCCACTTTATTATCCAGTCATGGCCCCTCTTCCTATCTGTCTGACTCCAATCCCTCAGTAGGTGGACTGCCTCCCTGGACTACTATCTTACAAAAAGACACACAGAATGAGCAAATCTCCTGGAGAGAAGGTGCAGGCATTGAGAGCTTGCTTCTCTTCCGCAGGACCAGGGTTTGGTTCCCAGTGTCAATGTCCCAGAGTGTGTACCTGTAACTTTAGCTTCTGGTGACACATTCTGGTTTACACACACACACACACACACACACACACACACACACACACACACACACACACACGGTTAACAATGCAGGGCACAGTAGCACATGTCTGTAATCTCATCACTTGGGAGGCTAGGGCAGAACTGCCTCTAATTAGAGCAAGTCTGGGCTGCATTGCAGGCCGGGGCTACGAAGTGAGACCTTGTCTCAAGCAAAGAAACAAAAAGGTTAAATTACAAACAACGCTTGTGACCACGTTACTTTCCTAAGAAAAAAAGGACAGGACTCTGCTTTTAAAAGGGTACTGCGGTCCTTACCTGACTTTGCTGGAGCTTCACGCGCAGGAAGAAGAAAAAAATAATGTACACCGAATCTCCTTTCCGGGAAGAGGAAGTCTGAGCCGGCAGCTGGAAAAACACTGGGTGGCCAGAACGAGGAGGCGGAGAAACGTGGACTGCTCAGCTGCCAGGACACACCAGCTCCGCCCTTCTTCCTAGCTGTGTTTTGTTTTGCACCTCTGGGTTCTCAAGGCTGTTGGGAACCACAAAGCCCTTCTGTAACCTTGAGACTAGGGGCCGTGCCCTCTGGTCAGTCCCTATAGACCTGGAGCGCCATTGCACAGCTTTGTGCGCCACGTCTGGGGAATTCTGATTTATAAAACCTCCTGCAGAGCTGTATGCAGCCAGCACTGTCCTGAGAGGATGAATCTGGAGAGGTGAATAAACTTTTATGACACATTCAGTTGCGATAAATCATAATATATGGTTCCCCTGTTGTAAAGTCACAGCCCAGGGTGATTTTCAACCTGTAGGGCTCAGGTTCTGAATCTCTTAGATTCTCCACAGGCCCCTCAACTCACGACTCCAAACTTAAGCCATCTCACTTTCATTAAAGAAAATCTATGATGTACAAGGAAAAAAAAATCCCAAACAAGGAAATTGACAAGCTATGTTTCTTTATCTAAATTTACCATTTAAGGAATGCTCCTCAGATGCCTGGTCAAAATCTGAATTGGGGCCTGGCTCAGTTGTTAGGAGTTTTTACGTAGCCTGAGACCCTGGGAGCCATCCCTAATCCTAGCTAGCACTCAGGAGTGGATGGAAGAGGTTCAAGGTCATACTCAGCAAGTCAGAAGTCAGCCTTGGCTACATGACACCCAGTCTCAGAAAAAAACAAGAAAAGAAAAGCCGGACCCATCTAGGTGACTCCGTGTGCCAGGGCCACTGCCAAGCCTGACACCTGAGTTCCGCAGAGCCCACAAGTGTCCTCCTACTTTCACACCCCAGCACACACACACACACACACACACCACAATAAATAAATGTAATAAAAACTTTAGAAATCTGTGTTTAGGGGCTAGAGAAATGGCTTGGTGTCGTGTAGTGCTTGCAGAGCATCTGAGTTTGCCTCTCAGACCCACACAAGGTGTGCCTGTATTCCAGCTCGAGGGGATCCAGTGTCTCTGGCCCCCTTGGGCATCTGCACGCCTGTACACAGACACATACAGATGCACATAATTAAAAACAGAAACGAGCCGGGCGGTGGTGGTGCACGCCTTTAATCCCAGCACTCGGGAGGCAGAGGCAGGCTGATCTCTGTGAGTTTGAGGCCAGCCTGGTCTACAAAGCGAGTTCCAGGAAAGGCGCAAAGCTACACAGATAAACTCTGTCTCGAAAAATCAAAAACAAAAACAAAAACAAAAACAAAAACAAACAAACAAAACAGAAACGAATATTTTTTTAATCACCAGGTATAGTGACTCACGCCTCTAATTACAGCATTTAGCCAGTAGAGGCAGGCGCATCCCTGTGGGTTCCTGGCCAGCCTGGGCTACAGAGTGAGTTCCATGCCTGGTAAGATCCTGTCCCTCCCCGCCCCCAAAAAAGAAGAGGATTTTTTTAAAAAATCTCAGTGGTGGTGATACACGCCTTTAATCCCAGCACTCAGGAAGCAGAGGCAAAGGCAGGCGGATCTCTGTGAATTCGAGGCCAGCCTGGTCTACAGAATGAGTTCCAAGACAGTCAAGGCCTCACAGAGAACCTCTGTCTTGAAAAATTAAAAATAAAATAAACATTTTTGAAAATCTGTATTTATGGTTTACCCTGTTGTCTTTCTATGCTAAGCATGCAGTTCTGCTGTTGTGGGGTCTGCTTGGATCCAACACAGCCTAAACTCCACTTCAATGCAAAAAAGTTTATTGTAATCAAGCCACTATTGATTGATCAGGAACACAGAACAGACTTGGGAGCTGAACTGTGAGCCTGGAGCCAGAGTGATCCAGAGCTTTAAGCACAAAAGCCACAAATATCTCTGCCAAGTTACGGGTTACATTTTTCACCAATCAGGACTCAAGGATGGGGACTTTCCTAGGGACATTTCTTTGTGGTATGCTTATCCTATTCTCATTGGTTGGTTTATTCACCTGTGGCTGTGTGGCTTGCCCCACATTCATGTCTTAACGTGCCAAACAGGATGTCAGTTACCCAGGGAGGTCTTGGGAACTTAAACATTTTTGATCCCTATTCAAAATGGAAGTTTTACTCAGAATGGCTTACATTACCCCCTTGTCTTTGTACATTATTCAAATCCTTGATTATCTGTTCCAGGGTATAGGGATGGTATTAGTTCCTTAGGACCATGAGCTTAACTGAGTAAACTCTAGACTGAACAAATTTAACTAAAACATTCAGGATGCAAGGTCCTCTGAGAAGCAGGAGGCGAAGGCGGGCCAGTGGTCTTGCTGGGGCAGTGAGCACAGTGGTTAGCCCAGGAGACCAATTAAAGAGATTTTGGAACCAGTTACCAGCCTGTCTTTTTTGTGTCTCCCTATCCATCAGGTTTTGTTTTACTTTTGATAAGGTGTCTTGGACTATCCCAGAATGATTGGCATAAAAACAAGTTCCCCCACAATGTCATACAGAAACCTCCCTCCTTAAGAAACAATAGATCCAATCCTCTTCTGTTTTGGAGGGCTGCTTCTACCACAGAGTCTAATTGTTTTTCTAATTGATGGAGAAGGAGCCGAGAGTTCTACATCTTGATCTGCAGAAGCAACAGTGTGCTACTCTGGGCATAGCTTAAGCATAGGAGACCTCAAAGCCCGCCTCCTCCACAGTGACACACTTCCTCCAACAAAGCCACACCTCCTAATAGTGCCACTCCCTGTGGGCCATGCACTCAAGCATATGAGTCTAAGGGGTGTAGCACAAATCTTAAAAGGTCTTATGAATAAAAACAAATCTGAGCCAGGTATTGGGGTGAACTGGAAGATCAGAGAAGCAGAACAAGCCACAGCTACTTCACCTTGCCAGTTCCTCAGCTAATCCTGTTTCCTCAGACTGGAAGCCTCTGTGTCCTCATCCAAATGGGTCTCAGCTGACTGCTGCTAAAAGTCTAAAAGCTTAACCTGCCTAGTTCCTGGTCCTCACTCCTTATATACTTTTCTGCTTTCTGCCATCACTTCCTGGGATTAAAGGCGTGAGTCACCATGCCTGGCTATTTACTCACAGAGATCCAGATGGATCTCTGACTCTGGATGTGAGTGCCGTCATTTTCTGGTCTCTGTGTCTGTCTAGTGGCTGTTCTGTTCTCTGACCCCAGGCAAGTTTATTAGGGTGCACAATATATTGGGGAACACATTATCACCACAAAGGGGACCATGCCTAATCAAACCACCACATTCTACTCCCTGGCCTTCGTAGGCTTGTGGGCATAATATAATGTAAAATGCATTTAGACCAACTTCAAAAGTCCCCATGGTCTATCAGTCTCAACAATACTTAAAAGTCCAAAATTCAAAGTTTCTCCTAAGATTCATGCAATCTCTTAACTGTAACCCCCCTATAAAATCAAAATCAAGGGCTGGAGAGATGGCTCAGAGGTTAAGAGCACTGACTGTTCTTCCAGAGGTCCTGAGTTCAATTCCCAGCAACCACATGGTGGCTCACAACCATCTATAATGAGATCTGGTGCCCTCTTCTGGCCTGCAGTCATACATGCTGTATACATAATAAATAAATCTTTTTTTTTTTTTTTAAAAAATCAAAATCAAAAGAGCAGATCACATACTTCTAACATATAATGGCACAGGATATGTGTAGTGGGTAGCGTTCCAGCTTTGATCTGGAAGGACCACCCCCATTGAGGCTTCGGTAACTGTCACGCTTACAAGGCTGAGCCGTAGGAGGACCCTTGAAGACCCGGGATCCGGATGGGCTGGCTCTCTTGGTTCCTGGACCCTGGACGCTGGAGGTACACTGAACAGCGTTCTCCAGAGAACACCGCCGGACTGAGCTACACCTTTCCCAGACCCTGTTACCTATCCCTTCACTTGTAAGTTACCCCACAAAATAAACCTCTCTTTTAACTATGTGGAGTGACCTTAATAATTTCACCAATAGATATGTATTACCATTCCAAAACGGAGGAAAGGGAACACAGTGAGGAAATACTGGGCCAACTCAACTGAAAACCAGCTGGGCAAACTCCAGACTCTGCATCTCCATGGCTGATATCAAAATGCTCTTCAGATCTCCAGCTCCTTTCATCTTGACTACAACACACTTCTTTCTCTTTGGCTGGTTCTACTCCCTATTAACAGCTCTCCTCAGCAGGTACCCCACAACTCTGGCATCTCCAACATCTTGGATTCTCCAAGGCAATCCAGGCTTTACCTTCACAGTTTCACACAATGGCCTCTCTAGGCCTCCATGCAGGGACATCCCCTGACACATGCCTGGGCTCAGCAGCTTTCCTTAATGGAGGAGGGAGATTCCATAACCCCTTTCTTCTATCCTTGACTATAAAGCCAGAACCATATGGCCAAAGCTGCGAAGTTCTGCTGCTTGCTGGGATTGGAACATGCCCCTCTTGTTCAATTACATCTTCACCAACTTTCTGTTTTTGGTGGTTTCCTTTACTGCCTACCTAAGCTTGGCTGTCCTGAAACTGGATCTCTAGACCAGGGTGCCTTGAACTCAAGAAATCTGTATGCCTCTGCCTCCTGAGTACTGGGATTAAAGGTGTGCATCACCACACCTGGCTCTAAGCTTTTCTTTGATTCTTTTTCTCACGTTGGAAGATTAGCTGGGTGGGGTCTTGCCCTGAGGTCACCACTCCCTATACAGCATTTATATCCTGCTCCTCTTTAATCTGTTGGTCTCCTGGAACATAGAACTTAGCTCCATTCCACTCCCTGGTGCCCCTTTTCTCAATCTGTACATTTTGTATTTTTCCTTGCTCAGCTTGCTTCTTTTAATTATGCATCTTCATTAGAGTTAACAGTAATAACTGTATGACAGAGTCTGTACTAGACTGTTTTGAGATTTCCTCTGCCAGTGTAATTAATTGAAATCTCTTCACCTTAGCCTCAGGCAGACTCTTTAGATAAGGGCAAAATGCAGCCACATTCTTCATCAAAATATCATAAGAACAATGTCTAGACAACATACTAAAAGTTTTCTCCTATGAAACCT